TACAGTTACACAGTTCATTTATTTACGACAGCTAAAACTAATCTAATTAATGCTAGTAATGGGATTAAAAGTATGTTGCTCAGGTATGTATCCTGACGAATAAGCCTTCTGCTTACCATTCCTAGGGTGCTATACGAGAGCCTTTCTCATTCAATTCTGAATACCCCTACTTAGTTCAGAATACCAGGATTGAACGAGCGACACTTCAGCATTACAGTATGTAGACTTCTGAGCAACAATATATATATATAAAAGAAATTTGGGGAAAAATTATCATACTGTTCAATCATTTTAACTTAAGCTATACTATATACAAGCACTCTATTTACTATACAACATAATCTAACTCGTCTTGTGATTAGCAGCTTATGCTCTGTCATGATAAGGCTTCAGCCGACTAATGTTAATTACGTCTTTAGTCCATTGTCCACCCTTTAGCAACGCCACTTCATAACACAGGTCAGAAACCTGTACCGGTACCGGGATCGTTACCCGGCGCCTCCACCAGTTGTAACGGTTGGTTTTTATGGGTTACTTCTTTTAAATGATGTTTATTATTATATAATATATTGTGGGGGGTGAGCTCGCTTGGCAGTGAGCACAAAGAAAGGTACTCGAGATTCGATTATACAAAATTCCATGACCCGGTACCGGAAACGTGTAAGCTCAATGCTATCGCTGTCCTTGCCTGTAAATATAAGCATCGTACAAATATGATTTTTTTGAGTCAGCATGATGCATGATCTTTATGCCATATTTGTGAGGCTTTGCAACAACATTCTGAAACTACATTTGCCACAAAATGGAACCAACATCTCGTCAATTGTTACAAATTCAGATACACAACATTTTTCTAAAATGAAATGGTGTCTAGGTAGGAAATATTTCTTATGTACAGTCCAGTGTCCAGGTTTGGAGTAGCATTGTTGAAAGAAAAGCTAAAAACAAAGGAAGAAAATGTGCTTTTGGTGAAAGATATGGAAAGAGATGAATGTGGGAGCCAAGTCTCCAGTGATTAAATATTCAAAAGTCTATAAAATTAACATTCAGATCATATAGAAATATCAATTATAAAGAGACATTAAGAAAGAAGATAAGTATTCAACAAAATTTGGTTAGGGATCAAACTCAATAAACATTTAAAAACCCATCATTAATTTCCGACCACCATCACACCATATTGTGAATAGACTAAATTCAAGTGACTGTTTCAAACTAAGAACTCTAGCCTAAATTTTTGACTCTCATTATTATCTCATATTATTTAGCCTACATTAGTATAAATTAAGTTAATTAGCCTATCAGAATTTCATACCCGGCACGAACCAACCCCTAGATTAAGATCATTGTTATCTAGCCATCTATAAAATGATTACGAAGCACGAATCGATACATATTTCGATACATGCAATCGTTTACAATAGAAATTTACAACTGAGTTGGTTAACAGCTTATTTTTACTCCATAGAGGCTAAAAACGATTTTTATTCCCTAAAGAGTAAAAATGGTACTTTAGACCCGCAACGCATGCATTAAAAACGACTGTTTTTACTGCAGTATGACAAAAACAATATAATATGAACCCTTGATAACTCCGCTCAATTTTGTGGATGCCTCTGCGAACGCCACTTAGTGATTATCTATTTTAAGTAAATTTATATTTATAAAATCCATTAATAAAGTGGAGTAGGTTGCAAGGAGTATCCTGGTCCAAGTTCATTTTTCCTATGACGTCCACTGACATATTCAGTTAAAAAGTCATCATCCAAAGCAGCACTTTCACTTACCTCTATATCAGCAAGCTGATGCTCATCATCAGGCTCATCCGGATCTGGTTCACTTCCACTATGCTCATTTGGGAGTACAAAATCTGGATCTGCGTCTGAATCATCCACTTTACTTTCATCAGTCTCACTGAGTTCAACGTCTCTAAGCATTCTTTTAACCACATTGGTAATGTCTTTGCTGTTTGGTCTAACCCTAGGACTTGTCCCACGACAATTCATTGTCACTCCTAGTTTGTATAAAATAAACACTATGTAAAAAGGGTAATATATCCTATATATAATACGAGTAAAGTTTGAATACTTGTCAACTCGATCTGGGAATCGGCTCTAACAAAAACGTTTATATTTACGGAATAACTAAGTTCTGGGTCAAAAATAAGTTCTAGACCAATGGTATAGCCAGGAAAAATCTATTTTCGCCATAATATGAACTAGTACAAACTTTTGAAAATTTAACATGGGCCTTATGAGAAAACATTCCGCCATTGTTGTCATTTTGTTTACATTTTACGACATAACTTGACGTTCTGTACCCACGGGCACCTTAGCTTGCGCATGCGCAGAAGTTCTCTATCCACAGTATACTAGCAAAACAAAATACAGTACAAAAGGAAAAACATCAGTTGTTACTATTAAGCAAAGATTAAACTGAACTCGATACATAGTAGTCAAGGGTAGCAGTGTGGAGTGTGGGATCTGTTTATGACGATTAGATTACGGTATCTGAAATTTTAAAATGCAATGTAAAGGGAGGGAAACAGGTCCGTGACGTAGGAAGTGATGAAGGAAGTAGTTAAAGGTGAGCAGTCTGGAGTGTGGGAACTGTTTACGACGATTAGATTAAGATATCTGCAATCCTAAAATGCTATGGGAAGGGAGGGAAACAGGTCCGTGACGTAGGAAGTGGTGAAGGAAGTAGTCAAGGCGAGTAGTCTAGAGTGTGGGAACTGTTTATGACGATTAGATTAATGCATCTGCAATCTTAAAATGATATGGGAAGGGAGGGAAACAGGTCCACGACGTAGGAAGCGGTGAAGGAAGTAGTCAAGGCGAGTGGTCCGGAGTGTGGGAACTGTTTTTGAAGATTATATTAAGGTATCTGCAATCTTAAAATTATATGGGAAGGGAGGGAAACAGGTCCGCGACATAGGAAGTGGCGAAGGAAGTTGTGAAGGCGAGTAGTCCGGAGTGTGGGCACTGTTTTTGAAGATAAGATTAAGGTATCTGCAATCTTAAAATGATATCGGGAGGGAGGGAAACAGGTCCGCGACGTAGGAAGTGGTGAAGGAAGTAGTCAAGGTGAGTAGTCCGGAGTGTGGGAACTGTTTTTGAAGATTAGATTAAGGTATGTATCTGCAATCTTAAAATGATATGGGAAGGGAGGGAAACAGGCCCGCGACGTAGGAAGTGGTGAAGGAAGTAGTAAATGCGAGTAGTCCGGAGTGTGTGAACTGTTTATGACGATTAATTTAAGATATTTGCAATCTTAAAATGCTATGGGGAGGGGGGGGAACAAGTTCGCGACGTAGGAAGTGGTGAAGGAAGTAGTCCAGGTGAGTAGTCCGGAGTGTGGGAACTGCTTTTGAAGATTAGGTTAAGGTATCTGCAATCTTAAAATGATATGGGGAGGGAGGTATACAGGGCCGCGACGTAGGAAGTGGTGAAGGAAGTAGTCAAAGCGAGTAGTCTGGAGTGTGGGATCTGTTTATAACGATTAGATTAAGGTTTCTGCAATCTTAAAATGCTATGAGAAGGGAGGGAAAAAGGTCCGCGACGTAGGAAGTGGTGAAGGAAGTAGTAAAGGCGAGCAGTCCGGAGTTCGGGAACTGTTTATGACGATTGGATCTGCAATCTTAAAATGCTATGGGAAGGGAAGGAAACAGACCCACGACGTAGGAAGTGGTGAACGAAGTAGTAAAGGCGAGCAGTGTGGAGTTTGGGAATGGATTAATGTATCTGCAATACTAAGACTGCGTTCATGTTAAACTAATGATTTTACCTGAGCAAAGCTCGGTCCCCAGGTACTACAATAAAAACAAAGTAAACTAATTTTCTTATAATCACCAATCGAGCCAACCAGTATCACAAACCGCCGTACTATATTACGTTACTAGAGCTGTCCGGTATGTGAGACCAGCAGGATTTCCAAAAACGATACACCTTTCAAACGACGTAACGATTCCCTCAAACTGATGTCTGAGTAATACAATAGGGTGGAGGGGAGGGGGAAGAAGCTATCTGAGCGTGCGGCTGTCAAGGTTAAACAGGGTGGCCACAATAGAAACGTAAAATTTCCCCCAGGTCACAGAGACAGGTGGCTCGGTAAAGGTGTAAAAAAAAGTTCTATAGGCTACGAACCTTGCTATAACTTAATTGGCAAGTTATGCTGGAATAATTTCATCAGTTGGGGTTAGTTTTTCATCTGGATACTGTTTAAAAAAACAAATTAAACATCAGAGCTAAAAGTCCCGAAAATGGAAACACTGAGCAAGTTTAAGTTACACCTACAGGCTGTGAGGCAGGCGAAGGACTCTAAGGGATTACAGCCCTCACACACACACACACAATAGGTCACGCGCCGTGGGGTAGATAGGACCTGGTGCGCCCCTGCTGGCGAGTGTGTGTGCGTTGGTGCAAGGGATGTTTATCGCCCAGAGTCCTTAAAGTCAAGCCCACTTGTGTATTTGTATGTGTTGAATAATGTGTATTCTACTACTTGGCGCAGATCCTATATTTGCTTTGCTTTTGTAAGCAGTCAAGTCTATTGGATTACTTAGACCTAATGTCCCGGCCATAGGACGTGTTTAATATGTACAGAGTGTTCCACAAAGATTTGAATTAACTTTGTACTAGCTTAGTTAACTTAGATGTGCCGAATGCGCTAAACAATTGGACTCTACAGTTAAGTTAAAATTATATTAAATTCTTAAATATAAAAAAATAGGCCGGCCTCGAGTTTTGATTGTGATTAATTTGGACAAAATGGCAGAACAGCTTGTTTTCTGTGTCTATCTTGGTATCTATCTATATTGCTGTTGTTAAGCCCATCTCTTCAGTGTGGGTGAGATTTAACACTAATACAAGTCCTTTTTTCTAGAATTCTCCCCCCCTCATAATGTAGTCCTTTTTCCCTCAGTATGATTTGCTTCTCGAGTTTTATAAATAGACACTACTCAATTGACTCCCCATTAACAGGAATGAAATTTGTTGCAGAACACAAAGGAAAAATGATTTGCAGTTTATCAGATTTCCCACCTCTCCCTGAGAGTAATCACTTACCAGTTTGTCTTACTGAAGGGAAAGTCCAATACAGCGCCCCCATGTTCACAAATGTCCATATCTACACTACTGCTGTGAGTATTTTTGTTTATTCATATCCATTTAAGATGGGGACACTATCTATGTGCGTATTATAACCCAAATATGAGTGAAGAATGAGTGCAGAATGGAGTGTGATGCCTTGTGTACCTTCGTTACTGACTAAGACCAGCTGTTTCATTAGTCAGGACCACGGTTACTAGAAAAATACCGGTATGGAACATAAACATAAACAAATGACGTTTTTGGTCCGAAAATAAACATGATTTAAAATTGCTTAAATGGAACTGCCAAAACATATGTTCAATGCTATTAGTATAGGATTCGGGCCAACAACGTCATTTTGTTTATGTTTATGATCCATACCGGTATTTTTCTAGTATTCGTGGTCAGGACTATTTATTGAAAGCCCAATGATAAAGAACAGCTGGTTCCAGTTTCAAACCATCAAAAAGCTGCACACTTTTCTCAATATTGAACTGGCAAAAATTAATTATTTAAAGAAGTTGGCGGCCTCTTTTAAGCTTGTATTTGCCTGCCTACATGGATCTTTGAACTGTGCGTGAAACATATCCATCAAAGCAAGAGGTGAGTCTGTACAGTACGTACAGAGAGAACTGTACTGAAAGAACTTTTTGTTAGGTACGGTACTTAACTTTTTTGTGATCTTTGAAATGACTTACGGTACTTAAAATTATAAGGATGTCAACTTTGAAATTACTTTAAATATAAAAAAGTTTTATTTACAAGACTGTGAAAATAGTTTTGCCATAAAATAACAACACATTGTATATATCTAAATATAAAAAGGACGCACATATATCAAAAGAGAAAACATTTGAGTACAGTAGCTTTGTTTCTATAATGGTGCTATTATAGAAGTGAAGAAGTGTGTTGTTATTGTAGAGTGAAGCTGTTTATTAAAATTGCAACAGGACAGTATGTTATTTCTGGCCAAGAAATAATTACGGACAATGTTGTTGTCTGGCCAGAAGTTCTGTGAATTTCTTTACAATAATTATCTGTGTGAATTAATTTGATATAAGGAAATTGAGGACTTAATAATGTACTGAAATAATGTACCTATCTAAAGAAGTTTTCTTTTAAATTAAAGATGTTTCACTTTTTTATTCATGATTTCATATTGTATTGGAAAAACTAATTACAAAGTTATGTTCAGGGTTTACTTAAAAAAATTACAAGTCAGGGATAAGTTAGTTATTGGTTATCACGAAAAAAAAAAGATAATTTTCAAATTAACTGAGAGCAGTAGAAAATTGTAAATTAATTCAAACCAGCTGTTACCCACGGGCTTCACCCCGTTTGACATCATAAGTATTAATAAAACTACTAGTGGAACCCCGTCGAAATCGACGGTTAATCTTGAGGTTTATGTAAATTCAGCTAACTGCATTGGATAGAGTGAAGTCATTAAAATCTTAGTTATATGAAGGGAGGATAAGCAATAATAAGTATGACGATTGTGTTCCCTAAAAAACGTGATTGATGAATTCGTTTAACACAATATTTCCTACCTTTCTTTTTATCGGCTTTAGGTTGCCCAAAAGGTTTTTTAGGAGTCTTATAATTGTTTGTTCATGAGTTTGTTTCATACCAAAGCCACTTTCACTATATGGGAGAGTGAGTTCATATAATTAGTCTATAATGTTACGGAAAGAGTCAATATTTATTACTAACCTAACCACTAATTCCATCTGCTTTAGGAAAATCATTCAGATTGTATCCAGATTTATAAGTAAATCTTCATCTTTTTTTTTTTTTTTTTTTTTTTTTTAAATATCTGATTCTCCAGAAAGCAGTAACATTCTTCCTTCGATCTCAGCAATTTTAAATCCTTCTCTTGCCACATCGACCCATGTTAAACTACCCCATAAGTTAATGAATTATCAAGTAAGAACAGGATGATTAAATGATTACCCATGAATCATCCTGTTCTTACTTGATAATTCATTAACTTATGGGGTAGTTTTGCCTTGGCTATATAGATCACATAAAGCTGTGCATGTATTTCGTGGATTGGAATGAACCATAATTGTAGGAAATTTGATCACAAATTCTAACATTTGCGGAACCAAATCCATAACCTAGTCCAGCATTGGTAAACAAATGCGATGAGATGTGATGACACTGTTGTGTTTCCGAATGTTTTGTATGTAGTGAGGTTTAGATGCGTTGTTCAACCTAGCTACATGTGTACATCAAAGTAAAAACTGTGTACACATTTTTTTTAAATACCTGAATTGACATTAGTTCACCTACTTTACCAAAACCATAGACTCCGTAGTTAGTCTATTCCAAAACTTGAACACAGCTCTCATCCTCTACGTACTCATCTATGACACAATTTTCAACCCGATTATAAAAAACTGTTATACCAATAAATGAATCTCAGGTGTTCTTTCTTGAATTTAAAAATAAATGGTGATTGAAAGTAGGAAAAAAAGGCAAGTGCCAACCTTACAATATGTATAAGCTAACCCGATAAGGAAAAGCATAGATTTTTGAACAAAACATTTCAAACGTATCATAAATTCATCATTTTGTTGAAACTATAAAAAACTTGCCATGCAGTGGAGAATCCATTTAAAATCATAAATAATAATGTAAACATTTAATTTTGACAGTTTCAGTAGACCTTTGAATACAATTTTAATATTAACAGCTGGTTCATTAAAAGTAGTGTAAAATTATCCATATGGTCGAAATGTAAAGAAAATTGCAGAGTGAACTTTAAAGGCCTCTGGGGCAGAGCCCCAAGGAAATTTACATCGTTTCTCTTTTGAGGGCTCACCTACAGACCAATACCTTTCTTTAGACACCCTTACCAAATTTCTACGCCCAGCCGTTCTCTCAAATTAGCTGTGACAAAAACCTCGTTTTCCTCCATAAGAATAACATGGGATGGGAATTTAAAGGCCACTGGGGCAGAGCCCCGAGGGAATTCTCCATTTTCTCTTTTGATGGCTCATCTACAGACCAGGACCTTTCTTTAGACACCTCTACCGAGTTTCTACGCCCAGCCGTTCTCTCAAAATAGCTGTTACAAAGAAAAACAGTTTCAAATTAATATATAGATTGATTGGTTAACCTGAAATAAACAAAATACAGTAAAAGAAACAAATAATCACACCTGATTTTAATAAGGTAATAAATTGAAAGAATAACAAACAAATAAGTACAGCTGAAGTATTTTTAACATTAGGTATATGAAAAGTTCCCTTTAGAAAGGAATTACGACCTTAAAGGGCAATTTGTGAAATAATGGATAATTTTGCGCAAGGTTTCTCGTCATGACAAACAATTTAAGTATATGGTTTATGGGGGTGTGGCTTGTAGTTTTCTCAAAAGTTCATCCGGGTACTTTTGGCTTTATATATAGATACATTGCAGATTTTGAAGTCACAAAGTGAAGCTGGCTGCTAGTTTAGATTATTCAGATTTGTATATCAACATTATATGTTGTTATTTGGCACAATGTATTCTACAAACCAATAAGACAGCATTAATTTATTTTACTTTTAGATTTAAGAGCCAACAAGTGTAATGGTTAGTTATTTTTCTTTTTACAGTTGTCATCCCACCCTCACATAGTGATAACAAATGAAATGTTACATCCTTCAATGTCCAAAGAGGACGGTAGCAAAGTGTTCCTGCCAGTTTCACAAACTTTGTGGAAAAAACTCCAGCATACCTGGTAAAACATTTCATTACGCTAATTATAGTAGACCCTCTCTTAACCGACCTCACATTAACCGATAATCTGCCCTCGCTTGTAAAATATTACAAAGTTTGTTTTAACCGATCTCGTTTTGGAATCAGTTTGGTTTAACCGCTGCTATCTAGGAATCTTGGCATTCCGCTCCCACGCTCTGCAATGGGAACAATATGCTTAACTCTATAGGATGTTACAAAGAATAAGCTATTTTTTTATTTATCCTAGATAAACATCCTGTCTCGTAACGAGATGGTTGCTTGTTGGCCTATTTTTAATTTGGACTAAGTTCGGAACACCGTGTTTTGATAGATTTTGAAAGAATCAATAATTATCACTAAAGGTATTAAACTAAGAATTTTTATTGACTCTTGTCTACGACTGTAATTTATTCCACTGAAAGTATTTGATTTAACCGTGTTTTGGCTTTATTTGCGACTTTTCTATTGTCAATACTTAATAAAGGAGATTAAGTGTAGTTTATTTTCTAAATAATGCACCATGCACGACTTCAGAATAATGATTAGGATATTTAATTCCAAATGAATAGCATTTCATTTTTCAAGTTTTTAGGGATTGCCCGTTTCAACTGACCCTTTGAGTCATCCTTAGGTCCGGTCCCGTTAGGGTCGGTTAAGAGGGGGTCTACTGTCTATGTGTATTCCTATTTGTTGTTTTTAATAGTGTGTTTAATCATAGATTAAGCCAAAACAATTCTCATAGATTTTTCATCTTTATATATCAGCTGGAATATTTCTGTTCGGCATGTTTAATATTGTTTACTATTTACAGTAGGACACTCGCTAATCGGGTAGATTTGGAACTTTGGCAGTGCCAGATTATTTAACATTTCTGATTACCAACCGATCGTCTTCTATTGCAGTCGTTATTGCAATACTGCTGATTTTAGAGCACCAAAAGGAAATCATTGAAGTATGGACCAGTAGTTCAATCATGGGCTAATTATAAACCCATACTTCCAAATTAAAATAACAATGATTCTGTTAATGTTGGCTTTAAAAAGACTGTATATGCTAGATTTATTAACATTTTTTTGTTTGACCTCTGTTCTTTATTTATATTAGTAAACAAATACAAAGTTTTTTGTGAAATTTTAAATTTTTTTTGTTGGAAGTTTTGTGAAGTACTTAGATTATTGCAGTGATTTATTCCAAACCTATGATTTGCAGGTACGAGAAAGGATTTGTCCCGATGCTAGAAGTGGCTGCACATCCGAGAGAAAACCAAGGCTTTATAGTTTTAGAGTTTGTCGCCAAACAAATGTTGGCCGCAATACGCTTTGCTTCAACTCTTCATAATGTTGTTCCTGGGTATAAGAAGAAGGTAAGATAAAACCATTTGTTTGTGAAAGGGTTTTGAAAATTTAATTTTGTACATATCAGCATATTACCATCTGCTAAACCAACAACCATATTGGGCAAATGAAACTTAGTAGGCTTATACATTGAAATTAAGGATTTTTTTTTAAATTTCAACTTTTGCCAACCAACCAACATTTGAACCCATGTTTGTTATAACGTGAAAGAACACATCCGGTCATTTTGACCGTTTTGTGCATTTTGACCTATTTTAATGGGTTTAAGTTAGTGATGGTCGAAACCAGAAATTTCAAATCTCAAAACCGAAACCGAAACTTAAAAAAACCGAATCTCAAATCCCAAAACATAACCGCGGAACTTACTTACTTAGAATTGACAAAGGTCAAAGTTTCAAAAAATTCAGGTAATAATTAGACGTTAAGTATGCAATCTAATCAAAGCTGAAAGAGTTATCATGTTACCGTTAGTTTTATTCAAGGAAATGCGCAAAGTTAGGATTTAGATTTGCAGAAAAAATAGTTAGCAGTAAGATTATCTTAGGAAGAAAAGTCCAGGTAGCCCATATGAATATTCATTTATAGAACGCACAGAAGACACAATTCAGTTTTTCAATGGAACTTTGTCAAGTGTAGACAAAAAGAGAGAAGAGAAAATGAGATTTCCCTCTCTTTGTCAACACTAAAGAGAAAGAACTATGCTGTATTCCGTGGCCTACCAGGATTTTTCTAAGGTAAGCTAGCTGCATTTTATTGTACATGTTACAGTTGCCATTTTCATAGTCATATATGTTAAAGGTTAAGGAAGATCTGATGGTATCTCAGAACCCCGTGTACAGTAGTAGCAACATCCGGTGTCTGGCGTGGCATCCCCACTGCACAAGACTGGCCGTGGCCGCTAGTGACGACTCTATCAGGGTGTATCTGGACAACTCACAGCTGACTCCGTTGCTCAAGTGTCGGGGACAGCGCTTCGTCTCCTGTCTCGCCTGGAGGTCTGTTGATTAAAATCGTTTTAGAACACATTTAATTTTACTTCTGATAGGAAAATCAGTTACGTGTACAGTGGGGGAGTATTCCCTATATGTAACACATAAATAAACTTACCTAATTTGAAATTTATCTATGTCACTGACCACTTTTGAGGGTTTGGGAATTTTCAAAATTCAGTGACCTCCAAATTTTAACTCCAACACCTTTTCTGAGCAGGACTATAACCAGTGAATCAGCTAGATTCTCAATCTTGTATGCCTAAACAGGCCTGTAACATACCTACTTATTTACAATGATTATTGGTGTTGCCAGGTTGGAACTACAGTAAACTTCCTCTAACCCTGCTTGTCTGGGTCTTGACATATGCTTGATTATAGAATATTCTAGATTAAAAAACTCCTATTGAGAAATTAGTGGGTTAAGAGTCCTTGGAGCCTAGCTGTGTCAGCTCATAAAACAATTAAAAATCAAGTTTCAGTCACTAAAAATGTTTTTGGATGATGAATAAAAATAACTTTTTTTACATTGTATTTAATTTACAATCTGTTCAACAAAAATAGAGCAATAAGCAAATATGATAAAATTTAAATACAGTAGTTAGTCTTTATCCAACAATAAAGCTAATACACAAAATTTGTATATTTGGTACAAAGTTTAAAGTATAACTTATTTATCATCTAAAAATATTATATCAGTTTTTTTTTTTTTGTAAATAGATTTAGTTTGTAATAAAACGTTGACTAATAAAAAATATGTGATTTTAAAACTGACAAAAGTGTACATGCCTTGTTAAATTTTATTTCCCCCTTAATATTAATACTTTTTTTTCAAAATATAATTGGCATTAACCAGTATTAGAGGAAGTTAACTGAACTGCATCCTACACCACCATTGTGGACAATCTTTTCTATGTGTGACAAAGTGAATGAAATATTTTAATTTTGTGTGTGGTTGTTTCTGTTTGTGTGCTATGCCTACATATTGAGAAGACTTTCACTGTGCAGGTAAGCCTGAGTGCCATCCTCAGGAGCATTTGGCCATGCAGGGCGAGGTCATAGGTTATATTTGAGGGTTAAGGGTTGGAAGTCCCAGGAATACTGTATTTTATACTTGTCAATTAATATATGGAATCCTGTTTGTTTGTGTTGAAGACCACTGTGTGGGTCGGAGCTGGCAGTTGGCTGTGAGGTTGGAGTGCTTGTGTGGCATGTAGACCCTAACTCTGTCATTACTCGTCCGTCTGCCTCCAACACACAGCTGCTGACTCGTCGAGGCCACACGCACGTGTCTGATCTCGCATGGAGCCCTCAGGTTCGATATAGTAGAGGAAGGATTATCCACAGTTCCTCTCCTCACAACCACATTAGATGTGTGTCTTAACTGAAATATGGATATATAAAACAAAGGACAATCAAATTATACTGATATAGCTATGCTCTGTGCATCAGAATAGGAGAAATAAATCATCCAGTTTGTTATTGTTGACAATGTTTGTGAAATTCCTGAATTTTGTATGTGAATTTCATTATGCTGTCTGATATAGAGCAAAAATTTTATAATGAGACGATACCAAAAAATCCTGGTCAAAGTTGACAACATAACTTATAATTAAAATTCATTTTCATAGCCCCAGGATTGCGTGTATGACATATTATAATGTTATATGTAATATGACACTACATGTTAAGGATTGTCTGACAAGGTATGTTTTAACCATTATAGGCCTATGTCATAACTTTTAAAACTAACTACATGCAAATTTGTCAAACCTCTTCGTGAACTCTTACTAAGATTTTACAAACTGATACAGTTAAGACCTGTAATGCCCACACAGCTAAATACCTACTACACAAATAAAATACTTTACTTTATACTTTCTTATGAAATGGCGACCATACTATGTAGGTAGCATGATAAAGCTAATAAAAATTCCCACATTTTTCTACCAATACCCGGGTTACATTGGGTTGTGTTTCAGGGGGACCTGCTAGTCAGTGGCAGTGCCCGAGACCAGACCATGTATGTGTGGGCTGTAGGACTAGACAATGCTGTACCTCTCAAGAGAGTGGGTGGTGGTGGAAGAAGCCTAGTGTCTTTGGTCACCTGACTCTCTGAAACTGTTTGCTGCTACTACCAACATGGTGTTGTGTTTCAGGGGAACCTGCTAGTCAGTGGCAGTGCCCGAGACCAGACCATGTATGTGTGGGCTGTAGGACTAGACAATGCTGTACCTCTCAAGAGAGTGGGTGGTGGTGGAATAAGCCTAGTGTCTTTGGTCACCTGACTCTCTGAAACTGTTTGCTGCTACTACCAACATGGTGTTGTGTTTCAGGGGGACCTGCTAGTCAGTGGCAGTGCCCGAGACCAGACCATGTATGTGTGGGCTGTAGGACTAGACAATGCTGTACCTCTCAAGAGAGTGGGTGGTGGTGGAATAAGTCTAGTGTCTTTGGTCACCTGACTCTCTGAAACTGTTTGCTGCTACTACCAACATGGTGTTGTGTTTCAGGGGGACCTGCTAGTCAGTGGCAGTGCCCGAGACCAGACCATGTATGTGTGGGCTGTAGGACTAGACAATGCTGTACCTCTCAAGAGAGTGGGTGGTGGTGGAATAAGCCTAGTGTCTTTGGTCACCTGACTCTCTGAAACTGTTTGCTGCTACTACCAACATGGTGTTGTGTTTCAGGGGGACCTGCTAGTCAGTGGCAGTGCCCGAGACCAGACCATGTATGTGTGGGCTGTAGGACTAGACAATGCTGTACCTCTCAAGAGAGTGGGTGGTGGTGGAATAAGCCTAGTGTCTTTGGTCACCTGACTCTCTGAAACTGTTTGCTGCTACTACCAACATGGTGTTGTGTTTCAGGGGGACCTGCTAGTCAGTGGCAGTGCCCGAGACCAGACCATGTATGTGTGGGCTGTAGGACTAGACAATGCTGTACCTCTCAAGAGAGTGGGTGGTGGTGGAATAAGCCTAGTGTCTTTGGTCACCTGACTCTCTGAAACTGTTTGCTGCTACTACCAACATGGTGTTGTGTTTCAGGGGGACCTGCTAGTCAGTGGCAGTGCCCGAGACCAGACCATGTATGTGTGGGCTGTAGGACTAGACAATGCTGTACCTCTCAAGAGAGTGGGTGGGGGTGGAATAAGCCTAGTGTCTTTGGTCACCTGACTCTCTGAAACTGTTTGCTGCTACTACCAACATGGTGTTGTGTTTCAGGGGGACCTGCTAGTCAGTGGCAGTGCCCGAGACCAGACCATGTATGTGTGGGCTGTAGGACTAGACAATGCTGTACCTCTCAAGAGAGTGGGTGGTGGTGGAATAAGCCTAGTGTCTTTGGTCACCTGACTCTCTGAAACTGTTTGCTGCTACTACCAACATGGTGTTGTGTTTCAGGGGGACCTGCTAGTCAGTGGCAGTGCCCGAGACCAGACCATGTATGTGTGGGCTGTAGGACTAGACAATGCTGTACCTCTCAAGAGAGTGGGTGGTGGTGGAATAAGTCTAGTGTCTTGGTCACCTGACTCTCTGAAACTGTTTGCTGCTACTACCAACATGGTGTTCAGGTAGACTTATATCTTCAGTGTATTGTAATAAAATGTGTTAATTGCAGGAAAAAGTGCACTATGTTGTGGCAGATCATTTTGCTCAATAAAAGTCTAGGCTCTAATCCAAGGGATGTCTGTTGCTGATTAAGGGGGTTAGAAAATTAAAATTAGTCCAAGGGTTATAGTCACAAAACTAAACAGATCATTAACATATGTTTATTTTGTGCATAGTGTGTCTGTAAATAGTGAAAGTTTTTACATTGTGTTCCTTGACTATCAGGGTGTGGGAGACGTGTCAGTGGAATGCTGATCGCTGGGCGTTGACAGTTGGTCGTGTGGTGTCTGCCGTCTGGTCTCCGTGCTCCTCTCTTGTTCTCTTCGCTGTGTCCCTGGAGCCTGTCATATACTCCCTGATGTGCAGTCAGACTGCCGGCGTGTTCCAGGAGGAGGACCGTCGGGCTGCCACTCCCTTGATAGACCTCACCCCGGTGGAACTCGACAACGGAGAAAGGTTGGTGGACCGAAATCATGTGTTCAAATTTATTGCCTTGACATTTAAATAATTAGCATTTAATTTAAACTACTTTTTTTCTATCTGCTCAAACATCTGTAGGGTATAGTTCTAAAACCAAAAAGGCTAAAACCAAATAAGTAAATGAGTCACTGAATCATAAAGAAGGAAAATCAAATCATATTCTCCTTAAACTGTATGGAGACATCAGTTTCTACCGTTTTCACTCACTTGAGTCATGTGGTTGTGTGTGTTCGATGGTCCAATAGCTCATGTTATAGTCGTCAGAATTACCTGGGTTCGGTGATAAATTATTAGGAAGCATAAATTAGTCTTCTATTGAAGGCTAACCTAAGCTATGATAAGTGTGATGTTTTTTGCCAATTTAAAGTGGAATTCAGCCTGTAATAATGTATTTGTAATTGCTGCATTTCTACCTATTTCAATGAAATGAAATGAAATGAAATGAAATGAAATAAATGAAATGAAATGAAATGAAATAATATTTTATTTCCCATTAATTATTTACAGACAAGTACATTGTATTTTTTCTTTTCTTAAATATGAAACAGCAAAATATTACTAACTAGCTAACAAAACAAAAATTATATACTGTAGAAATAAGTAAATAAAAGTGTTAAAAAAAAATACACTCTATAAGAAAGGAAAAAGTCTACATAGGCAGGGCCTGTGCGTAGACTGAGTTGCGAAAAGATTAATTTAGATGGGAAGTAAAAAATATATAGGAGAAAAAAAAAATCGTATAATTTAAATCTTTTTTTTATTTGTCTTGCTTGAAGCTGAATTTTTAGTGTTCTGGAATAAATTGACGGTAAAAAAAAAAAAAAAAAAAAAAAAAACTCTTTGTGCAAACAGAGGTAATTTATAATATCTGGTGAAGATTGAAGAGGAGAGGTGGGGTGTAGTGTATTAGTCAGTCAGTGAAAGTGGTGTATCAGTGATTGTGTAGGGTCAACGGTCAGGTCCGCCCAACGCGATAACGGCCTCGGTGTCCTCTGTACTCAGACCAACAAGCCACCCCACAACATGCTTCTTAAATAGAGAGAGAGAGGGTGAATTTAGAATGTTGACATTTTGATATCTGTTACACATGTTACGATAAATGATTTGGGTTAAGTGAAAGCAATTCGTATTTGAAAATGATTTGAAAGTTTGTGGAACACTTACACCAACATTTCGAGAAAAGCGCGTATTGTGGGGATGAGTAATTTTTACAAAAATATTATCAAAGTTTTTGTACATGTGAACTAAAATAAATTTTAAAAATAACTGCCTGACTGTCAAAACTCCCGATTCTACAAAAAGATCGTCAGTTGAATATCTAAAGTGTTTTTTAAAAGCAACTTTAAGTATTGTTTTCTGCACTACAAAAACAGGTTGCAAGATAGTTTTGTAAGCACCACCAAAAGCAATAATTCCAAAAGACAACAATGATTGAACATATGCATAGTATGCTATTTTAATTTCTTGCTCTTCGAGAATATCACTAAGTTGCCTAAATGCATAAATATATTTACGTAATTTATTTTTTAGGTATTCAACATGTTCCGACCACTTCATCTTTGAATCAAAAACAATACCAAGATTACCAATTCCCAAATACTTATTGTCTTATTTCATTTACCTAATATGCAATAATGATGGAAAATGTGAAATTGAGCTGTGCTTTACACGTCCCGCATAAGGATCAAAACCGCTCTCAAGCAAGCAGTTTTTACTGTGCAATGTTGTCTGCAGGGTGGGAGGTGAAGTCAGCAGTCTGGCGTGGGACAAGAAGGGACGTTACCTTGCAGTTATGTTCAAACAGTGTGATATCATAGCTGTGTTCATGACTTCTCTAGGTCATACTCTGCATGTGTCACCTTGGTAAGTTCTTCAATGTTTTCAAAAGAATCATTAGGCCTATTATATTAAACATGTAAATATCAAATTAGTTTTGTTATGCACTTTTTGTGGGTTTCTTTTTTTTTTCTATTGACACTTTTTTTTGTAAGTCGTGTATACATCATTCTTAGTCACCTTGGTAAGTTCTTCAATGTTTTCAAAAGAATCATTAGGCATATTATATTAAACATGTAAATATCAAATTAGTTTTGTTATGCACTTTTTGTGGGTTTCTTTTTTTTTCTATTGACACTTTTTTTTGTAAGTCGTGTATACATCATTCTTAGTCACCTTGGTAAGTTCTTCAATGTTTTCAAAAGAATCATTAGGCCTATTATATTAAACATGTAAATATCAAATTAGTTTTGTTATGCACTTTTTGTGGGTTTCTTTTTTTTCTATTGACACTTTTTTTTGTAAGTCGTGTATACATCATTCTTAGTCAAATTATTCTTTTGCCAAATTGCTTTATCCTAAAAAACTAAGATAGAATAGATTAATAGGTTATTCTAATTTTTGCAATTCTGTTAAATAAAGAGTAAATACGTTTGATAAAAAGCTTGAGTTCTGACTTGGCGTTTTGATTTGGGTGTAATATTTAGTTCATTGAGCGAAGCTCTTATACGTCGACTTTTATGCATTTCGTAATACGCAAACTCCTCCTAGACGGCTGAATCAATCGTTTTCAAATTTTGCATGGTGATAAAGACCATATCGGTGAGTGCCAACATCTATATGGCGTTAAAAAAGTCTCTCAGGAATCCGCCCCACTGGGTCTCAAAGTTTCAATGTAATCCTTATGGAAGCAGTATTTGACACATAAACAAAGACATATGATCAGCTGTTGACTTTTGAATGCAGTAGATAAATAAATAGCTGATAGCATTATTCCACAGATATTAGACCATAAACGGTGGTATATGGATCATAAATATAATCAAATGACGACACTAGCTTGAGGTCCGTGACGTAGGAAGTGGTGAAGGAAGTAGTAAAGGTGAGCAGTCTGGAGTGTGGAAACTGTTTAAGACGATTAGATTTAGGTAGGTATCTCCATTCCTAAAATTCTATGGGAAGGGAGGAAAACGGGTCCGTGACGTAGGAAGTGGTGAAGGAAGTAGTCAAGGCGAGCTGCCCGGATTGTGAGAACTGTTTATGACGATTAGATTAAGGTATCTGCATTCCTAAAATTCTATGGGAAGGGAGGAAAACGGGTCTGCGACTTAGGAAGTGGTGAAGGAAGTAGTCAAGGTGAGCTGTCCGGAGTGTGGAAACTGTTTATGACTATTAGATTTAGCTATCTGCATTACTAAAATTCTATGGGAAGGGAGGAAACAGGTCCGTTACGTAGGAAGTGGTGAAGGAAGTAGTCAAGGCGAGTTGTCCGGAGTGTGGGAACTGTTTATGACCATTAGATGAAGGTATCTACAATCCTAAAATGCTATGGGACGGGAGGAAAACAGGTCCGCGATGTACGAAGGGGTGAAGGAAGTAGTCAATGCGAGCTGTCCGGAGTGTGGGAACTGTTTATGACTATTAGATTAAGGTATCTGCAATCTTAAAATGCTATCGGAAGGGAAGGAAACAGGTCCGCGACGTAGGAAGTGGTGAAGGAAGTAGTAAAGGCGAGCTGTTCGGGGTATGGGATCTGTTTATGACCATTAGATTAAGGTATTTGCAATCCTAAAATGGTATGGGAAGGGAGGAAAACAGGTCCGCGATGTAGGAAGTGATGAAGGAAATAGTCAAGGCGAGCTGTCTGGAGTGTGGAAACTGTTTATGACTATTAGATTATGGTATCAACAATCCTAAAATGCTATGGGACGGGAGGAAAACAGGTCCGCGATGTACGAAGTGGTGAAGGAAGTAGTCAAGGCGAGCTGTCCGGAGTGTGGGATCTGTTTATGACCAATAGATTAAGGTATTTGCATTCCAATAATGCTAAGGGAAGGAAGGTAAACAGGTCTGTGACGTAGGAAGTGATGAAGGAAGCAGTAAAGGCGAGTTTTTCGGAGTGTGGGAACTGTTTATGACGATTAGATTAAGGTATCTTGGTATCTACTATCTTAAAATTCTATGGGAAGAGAGGGAAACAGGTCTGCGACGTAAGAAAAGGTGAAGGAAGTAGTAAGGTGAGCAGTGTGGAGTTTGGGAACTGGAAACTGTTTGTAGCAGTTAGATTAATGTATCTGCAATGCTGAAATGCTATGAGAAGGGATGGAAGCATGGCCACGACATAGAAAATGGTGAAAGAAGTAGTAAAGGCTAGCAGTGCGGAATGTGGGCAATGTTTGTGGCAATTAGATTAACGTATCTGAAATACTAAAATGCTAAGGAAAGTTATGAAAACAGGTCCACGATGTAGGAAGTGGCTTAGGAAGTAGTAAAGTATGAACATATTGTGAGAACCGTCTGTGGCAGTTAGATTAATGTATCTTCAATTTTAAAATGCTATGAGAAGGGAAGGGAAACAGGCCCCACGACGTAGGAAGTAGTGAAGGAAGTAGTAAAAGCTGGCAGTGCAGAGTGAGGGAACCGTTTGGGCAGTTAGATAAATGTATCTAATACTTAAATGCTATGAGAAGGGATGGAAACTGGTCTATGACGTAGGAAATGGTGAAGGAAGTAATAAGGCTTGCAGTGCAGAGTGTGGGAAGTTTATTTGGCAATTACATTAATGTATCTGCAATGCTAAAATGCTATGAGCAGAGACTGTAGACTGTAGGTTAAAATGATTATGAAGCACGAATCGTTACATATTTCGATACGTATTCAATAGTTTACAATAGAAATTTACAACTGAGTTGACAACAGCTGAGTTTTACTCCATAGATGCTAAAAACGAATTTTATTCCCTAAAGAGTAAAAATGCTACTTTAGACCCGCAAAGCATGCACCAATGACGACTGTTTTTACTGCAGTATGACAAAAACAATATAATATGAACCCTTGATGACTCCGCTCAATTTTGTGGATGCCTCTGCGAACGCCACCTAGTAACTTCTTCAGTGTTCAGTTGTATATTTTTATTTACATGTGTCTTACTCTTAATAACAGTAACTTTGGAATCAGCTACCACTACTCATGTGGTAGTTGTGATAAATAATGCTAAAATACCACAAAAACTTTAAATTGTTATTAGAGAAGTTCTCCCTTTACCATTTATATTTGATTTTGTATTCATATGATTTTGGAAGTTTTAAAAATTTTGAATGGGGTGTGTTTACAAATCAAATCAATCCACCCCTCAAATTTATCAAGTACTTGTACTTTGTAAACCCTCTAAAGAAAGTAATTGACAGTGAGGGATGAATAATATCTGCTTTAAAAATATTTTATCTTTATTATATTCCCAATTATCTAAGTAAAATAAAAGTAGTCAGTTTTTCAGTACAACCCAGAAACGAATTTTGAAATAAAGAATTAGATAATTCAGTGTCTACTGTCAAGACTTATGGTTAAAGACAGTCAAAAGTGTGGTGCCTTTCTTCGTTATCTTTGCACTTGAAGGAATGGAAATATTATTTTTCTTGTATCTAAACACATTTTATGTTGTTTTATACTTACGCTACAACCAAACATTCTGTTTTAAATGTTTAACCAAGTTCATATTTTCCAGTTGCTTTATCAAAGGAGTTGCTAACGAGTCACCTGCAGTTATTTCATTCCAGAACAACTTTAATGATGGTGCTAACCTCACAATTGTAAGTATTAGTTGCCATTTGTCTTAAGATAATGTTTATCACATAACAAGGCTTTGTAAATTTATTACTGATTCTTTTATACTCTGTGTGTTTGAAATAACCCCAGGGAAACATTGTTCTATCATTCATAATCATTGGTTTAAAATTCAATATCGTTGCTGTCAGTTCTGAACCCAAAAAAGTTGTTTTTGAAGTGATGTCGTGTGGATGTGTCCAAAGCTACAGACCTGTGGTCGAATTTTGATGAAATTTTTTATGTAGATACTAACCAACACATGCAAAACCAACCATGCTAGAGGTGTTTTTCATTTTTCTAAAATTTGGATTTTTACATAAAAACCCATAAAGTATTAATTAAAATAAAATAAATATAAAATGTTAGCTGCAGTTGGCAGTTCTAAAATCTGAAACTATGAACATATTCCAGGGTTGGTCCAGTGGCCGAGTCCAGTACTTCCCCATCATCTACTCGGAGCTGGAGTCCCATGACAGGAGTTATGGAAACATTACAAACTACGATTTACCAAACGTCTCTTCCTACGCATCTCCCTCGGCGTTCCATGATTACACTTTAAATTGATTCTTTGCTCACCTTTAGTCTTGTACATTGTTTTTTATATTTATAGATAAATAAAGTGATCTTTCTATTTCTGGTTGTATGAATCTATCAAGTGTCGACTTTTTTCATTAAAAATAAGTTTGTTATTTATGAGAGATGCATTTGTCTGATCTAAAAAACTGGAAGGTGTGGGAAATGTTTTATTCATAAGTGATTTAAAGGATATTGGTTGGATAATTTATCAACATATTTATATATATTTTTTATGGTGATTTGGTCAACATATTTATCTCATCTTTTATTTATATGACTGGATTTTAACTTATTTTCATCTTAAATTTTAGGATCAGTTGCTGAAGGTCTAATTCCCGGAAGGTCTAATTAGACCTTCGACACACATTTTGCAGTTTGTACTTGTTGCTAAAGGTCTAATCTGGTAGTATGTCGAAGGTCTAATTCCCGGAAGGTCTAAGAGTACAGTCAATGCAAAAAACTTATCCACTGATACTGTTTTAGACCTTGCGGGATTAGACCTTGGGCACAAAATGTTACTTTTTTAAATAAATGTTTATAAAATGAGAGTTGCTGAAGGTCTAATTCCCGGAAGGTCTAAGGTTCGAGTCCCGGAAGGTCTAATTCCCTGAAGGTCTAAGATTCGAGTCCCTGAAGGTCTAATTCACTGAAGGTCTAAGATTCGAGTCCCGGAAGGTCTAAGATTCGATTCCCGGAAGGTCTAAGATTCGAGTCCCGGAAGGTCTAAGATTCGAGTCCCGGAAGGTCTAAGATGCGGGCGGGCATTGCGTCGCCATAGATGAAGGCTATACAAGCAGGCAATAACGCAACAACTTGAGTTGTAATTATCGATATGTTTCATTCACTCCAAGATGGTTCACTCCAAAAAGTAATTTTACAAATTATTTGCCTGTTCATTCACTCCACTGTTCATTCAATCCAACGGGTACAGTTAGCTCTATAAGTAGACTAACAAGTAGAGAATATAATTTTTGAATTTTACTGTACATTTTATACAATATCAACAACATGTTTTATAATTAACTAGTGTCCCTGTTGCTCGAAATCGAGCAATTGCTTAGTATTACAGGCGTTATTTTAAAACGAAAAAGTCATATTTTTTATGACTATAAAAGATTTGACTCAAAGATTATACTCAAGATGTAGATAACAGATCGATATAATCAACATTTCTTGTAAATATGTTATCATTTTTCGAAAGCTGATTTTGTTTTTTAGTGTTTATAACACACATTATTTCTATTTCTTTCCCTTGGTGGTGTTCTATGACTTTCCTATGTTTCCATAGTTTGCAAATCGTCTCTTTCAATGATTACTAAGAAATGCAGCACAGTGTTAATTCAGTTTTCTTTTTAGTATATCAATTTATCCAGGCTCTCTCGTTTTAGCAAATTTCCCATATAGGGAATAAGCTATTACCGTAGTACTCATGGTAAGACCTGGACGCGGGACCGATTTTTGTTCGTTTAGGGGTCCCTAGAGGCCAAAAACACCATCCGTTCAAATTCATATATATATACATATATATATCTATATATATATATATATTTATATATTTATATCTAATATATAAAATTCTCGTGTCACAGTGTTTGTCTGCAAACTCCTCCGGAACGACTTCACCGATCGTTATGAAATTTGGTGTGTAAATTCTGTAGGTATGCGAATCGGACGTAAACTATTTCCCGTTTCGAAATTCTTAAAAGGGTTCCGCCCCAGTGGCTCTGGAGTTTCCCATGTTAACCTTATGAGAAATGGAATTAATGAATCTTAACAGCTGTTTCAATTAAACAAGTTGGTTCTGTTCTATGATGTTCAATAGCATTAAAGTTACAAGGATTACCAACAGGGTGCAGCACTATTATTTCTTTTACATTTATGACAACAGCTAATTTGCAACCAAAAGGTGAGTGAGCGTAGCGAACGAACTTCAACCTGGAGGCGAGTTAGCGTAGCGAACGAGCTAACCTGAAGGCAAGTGAGCGCAGCGAACGAGCTCCAACCTAAAGGTGAGTGAGCGTAGCGAACGAGCTCCAACCCAAAGGTGAGTGAGCGTAGCGAACGAACTTCAACCTGGAGGCGAGTTAGCGTAGCGAACGAGCTAACCTGAAGGCAAGTGAGCGCAGCGAACGAGCTCCAACCTAAAGGTGAGTGAGCGTAGCGAACGAGCTCCAACCCAAAGGTGAGTGAGCGTAGCGAACGAACTTCAACCAGGACGTGATTGAGCGATGCGAACGAGATCATCTTGAAAATTAAACGTAACGGCACTTTCTTTCCATCGGTCTGTCTTAGGGGAAACCTATAACTTAGGCGATACGAAGTTCGCCGGGTCAGCTAGTATTTATATATTTATATATTTATATATTTATATATTTATATATTTATATATTTATATATATATGTGTCTGTCAGCACAATAACTCGAGCAAAAATGATCCGATTTTGATGAAATTTGGTACAAACGTGTAAACGTACGTTTATTCGAACGAGTTCGCGATCCAGCATGATCGGACCATGGGAACGGGGGTTTACGGGGGGTTTTATGGGGTAAACATAGGTCTTTCCCATTTCTTACCCAAAAAACATTAAATTTAGCAATTTCTTTCCAAACCATTTTGTAGAGCTTAAAAAAACAAATAATTTAGTATATTGAAGCGTTATTATGCGCCTAATGGTTACGGAGAAAATTCCAAAAAATTGTAAATTTAAAATTCTCATGTTATTCTTATGGAGAAAAAGTAAACTGTTGTAGTTTGCTTGTTTGTGAACATATTTTGATCAAATTTGGAAAATGTTTTTATTTCTTACTAACTATTCACATTTTACAAAAAAAAACAGTTTTACCCTCCCTGATGCAGCAAACCTGAGTACTCGAATTCTATTTAAATCAAGAATAAATGTTATATTTTTAAGTAGACATTTCAGTGTAAATCCAATCAGTCAAATGGAAATTCGCTTCGCTTAGTCTGCAGGTTTGCTACGGTGGGGGTATTTCCCATTGTAATAATTACGCCAACCCAAATTCAAATAGTAACTATTTCATTTCAACCGAGTAAGTAAATGTTTGTATTGACTGTTTACAATTAACATATGTTCTTCTCTTCACTTTTAATTTCTGACAACAGCTGCAACAGCTGATTGTTATGCATTACACATAGCATAACAATATTTGTTTCCCATGTTAATCTTATGGAGAAATACGAAACTTTAAAGGGCTCCAGAGCCTCAACCACTCATTATTTCCCTAAAATGAAAGTTTCCTGCACAACTTCAGGTTACCCTCTTTCCAATGACACCAAAAACATGTCAATCGGTTCAGTAGTTTCGGAGGAGTAATTGTCACAAAAATCCTGCTTGCGTATTAAATAAGTACGAGGTGTTAGCCCGTCCTACGTACGGGAATTCAGTAGTCAGTTAAAACCGTGTACAATTCAGATCAGCTAGTTTAAAAAAGACAAAGTTTCTTGCAGTTTTAATGTGAAAAATCAACTTTAAACAAATGTTGTGCGACCAAATATGTTTTTATGCATTTTAAATCCGATAATTTTACAATAAAACAGCAATTCTGCAATTTTTACGATGTGAAAAACGTTGAAGTGAGATTTGCAGCCGATTCGCACAGACGCACACTGATTATAAGTAGCATACAGTAGAGAGAGTAATAGCTTTGACTATTAATACAACACTTCTTTATCTTATACAACTTCTGTATCCAATAGTCAAAGGTAATAGTCTATTGAGAAGTGTATAGATCTAGTCAACGATACTACCTTCTATAGCATACCTGCCTCTTCCATAATTATTATCACCACAATGCCACAATACAACTAACTTACTATACACAATTTCCAGTAGGTCTGAATAGAAACGACCTAAAATAAAACGATAATATCCAATAAAATTCACAGTACACATAATTTAACTTTGGTGTCCTAACATCAAACTAATCGTCACACCTATCCTTTGTATCAATTTCACTGCATTAATTACTAAATAAATAAGTCTAAACAAAGAAAAGTAAAAACAATAACAATTTGTTTTGAAACAGCTGTTTGGTTCAAATAACATTCATTTGAAAAAAGAACTGGTCACATGTAGCAGGAATATAAAAAGTAAACACGATAGTAAAGCTAATGACGTAATTGTCAATGTTTATTATCCATACCGTTATCAGTTCTATCCTTGATAATTACCCACCCTCATTGAATAAATGTACATCGTAATTTCCCATATTAGTTAATTTAAACTACAATATATTCATAGTTTAAATAAAAGTGATATTTTCACGTTTGGGGGCGCTGATATAGGCACCCCCAAACGTAACCACAACTCAACACGATTTCATAAAACATGTAAACATTGTTATTTTTCTAATCTTTCCTTGAAAAGTGGAGCAGTAAAATAATTTGCATTTATCCTTTTTTATTAGGCTCGTGTACAGAGCCTCAATTTGTACTGTGGTTTAATTAATTTTGGTCCAAACTATTTTAAACTGTGGTCTAATTATCTCTACTAATCTGACTTATTTCCTATAATCAATGAAAAAATAAGAGTAAATAAAATAACCTCATAGTTCCATAGTTTATATTTAACCAGCTGTTAGTTAAAACAAATTATATTGCTCTAAAACAAATCAAGATTAGAAAGATTGCTTTAAAAAATATTTTGAACATCCTAGTATTTTACTATGTACCTATTATATTATTAAAGTGATACAATCAAATTTTATGTAAACGGTTAAGGCCATTTAACAAATACAAATATAGGCATATGTCACATAAAAATGAAGCTTAGAGTGTGTAGATTTGCCGAAAAGTATTGATATGGACGAATTCCTAAGGGCTCTGCCCCACAGTCTGATTTCCAAAGGGCTACGCCTGGCATGCTTCCAAAGTTTAATTTAATTTAGTTAATGAAACAGCTGGTCAGTACAATGAACTGTTGTTTGTTTATTTACTCGAAAAAGATGTTTGTGATGCTTTATGTAGATTTAGGAGGGTTATGTTTTGTTTTAAAG